TGGCTAGGTGGGCAGATACCATATCTGCACCTATAACAACACACACTACCCTTAAGGCCTATCTAATTCATCTCTTCCTTGCCCAACTTAGTTCCTGGGGTAGCTTTCTGGTGCTCTGTCCAGTTCTCATGTGAACTCTTATTCCTTCTTGCATCAGGCTGTGGTGAAAGCACTGGAGCAGCTGGCTCAACAAGGGAAAATTAGAGAGAAGGCTTATGGGAAGCAAAAAATATACTTTCCAGATCAGGTGAGATTAATCTGTTCAGTTTCCCTAAAAAACAAAAACAATGTTGAACAAAAAAACTCAACAGACCATCCCCAAGTAAAGCTTGTTGGTGTGGCCATAACAGGCTTTCCCTGTGGCATTTGTTAATGTGCTGCCAGTACTCTTGGTGCTGCATCAGGCCCAGAGGGGAGACTGTCAAGAAATTTATTTACACAGCAGTTCAGCACAAAAGGCACTAGGAGACACCAATATGTATGTTTGTATGGGCATGTACAGTTTTTTTCACACTGCAAAGCAACATATGCTATTTTGCATTTATTCCATTCAAATGCTTTGGTTCTTCCTTTTACTTTGTATTGTTTAGAGTAATTCAGCACTCCTCTGTTCATAAATGTTAAACCTGCTGTTTCTGCTGTGTCAGTAACATCCTAGCCAATGTCACTAGTTTAGATTATAATGTGGTGATAACCAAAATGATGCCATTCTAGCCCATATTAAGGATGTTATGGACTAGTCAACTATCTGATAAGCAAATGTTTATCGGATAGTCAGTTGACTAGTCAATTCCCCCCCCTGCCTCTATCTGATAGAGACAGCAAGGCGGGGGAGGGGGGGAGAAGGGGCACTTCAAAGCGGCAGCGCTGCACAGCTGAGCCCAATCAGTTGTGCGGCGCTGCCACTTTGAAACCCCAAAATGGCATTTTAAAGGAGCAGTCGCCACACAGTTGAGCCTGGGATGAGCTCTTTGATGCTGCCCCTTTGAAACGCGGAAGTCCCCAGCTGACCCTGGGTTCTGTTGAAATGCCGCACAGAGCCTGGGATCAGCTGGGGAATCCCCAGCTGACGGCGCTGCCCCTTTGAAATGCCGAGACGGCGTTTCAAAGAGGCAGCTGCTGCACAGCTGATCCCTTGTTCAGCTGTGTGGTATTGCCCCTTTGAAATGCCAAAGTGGAGTTCAAAGGGGCAGTGCCAGAGAGCCCGGGGTCAGCTGGGGACTTCCCGCTGACCCTGGGCTGCACGCAGAGTTTCACATTCCTCCTTTGAAGTGTACAAGATCCCCAGTGGGGGCTCTTGTACATTGCAAAGGAGGAATGCAGAAGTGCCTATCAGCTACTCAATTAGTCAGTTAACTACAGTTTAACATCCTTACCCCGTATATCAGCACTCTGCCTATGGCCTCCTAACCAAAGGAGATGATACCATTTGGAGTACCCTATGTATGGCTGATCTCCAGAACTGCAACAAGCTGTCATGGGAACAGATGTCTCTGAAGATCTCTGTCAAAAATGAGTGGTGGTGACTTTACATGAAACATGTTTTCTGTAGTTCATCATGTCATCTGTCTTATCTCTCAGGATCAGTTTCCCGCAGTGAGTGACTCTGAGCTTAAAGCCTTGGACAATGAAATCTCGGAGCTTTCTTCTAAAGTACAAACTCTTCAACAGAACTGCCGTCATATGGAATCAGGTGTGTTTGAATTTCCACTTCTACTGCCAGTTTATTTCAAAGTAGATGAGCTTTGAAGCCGAACCAGCATGGAGTGTGTGTAAGGCAGTGCAGTGTGGCCCGAGCATGAAGTGTGTGTTATGAGGCATCACATTGCAGTGCCAGCATGGAGCACGTTATCATGCAGACAATGCTGGCTGTTGAGCTTTTGCTGTGAATTCCATTCCAGAACTGAAGGATCTGAATGGCTCAATGACCACTCCAGAGATGATTAAAGAGATTGAAGAATTAAAAAAAGATTGCGCCAGTTACACAGAGAAGCTGGAGCGAATTAAATCTGCGGCCAACCATGTGACCCCTGAAGAGAAAGAGAAGGTAAAAGGCCAGAAGAAGCTGTGATACTGAACCTGGCAGCTGAGAGCCCAGCTTGGTGCTGCTTGTTGTTAACAAAATGCTGCATAGGTTATCCTTAGATGTAGACAGGGAATAGCTTGTCTCTTCTGCATGGATCCTGTATTTCTGTAAGCCAAGTGGTGTATCTGAATATGAGGGGGAAATGCACCTCAAAATGCTGATAGACATTTTGAATCTGACACCAAACACTGAAGAATCAGAGTGCTTGTGGGAGAGGAGTGAAACTACAGCATAAACTGTCCTCTTCTCAGTACACTTCCCATGTTCCTGTTTGTAGGCAAGGGCTGCACTTCAGTGGCCTCCTCTCTGAAGTCTGACAACGCTTACATGGGAAGTGCTGGTCAGCTTTAAGTGTGGCTGTGGGAGCCAATCCCAGAGTCTGATGTCCTGCTTCCTAATGTTCTTTGCTGTGCGCCTCTAGAGAGGGTGGCTCGAAGGCCAGTTTCTAAAGAGGTTCCTCAGTGATGGTTACCTGCAGCCCTTTGCTCTACGTTGTCTCTTTAGTAATACAGAAATGCAACATTTTAGCCTCTTGAATCATCCATTTTAAAAGGAGACCCACTTCCAAAGAGCTGATTGATCAGTTGCCTGCACTGTGCGATGGTTTTGAATGCTAAATAAGCATCTTGCTCTGGCCCAGTCTCCCCTCTTGACCGTCCTTCCTTGGGTAACACTCCTTGGAAGTGGTTGGGTTGAATGTTACTCACTTGGTCTTCTTGATTACAGGTTTACAACGAGAAAAAGCTGTACTGTAAAGAATGGAGAAGGAGGAAGAGAATGGTAGCCACTTTTATTATGAATACTGGATAGATGGGCACCATTGAGTGGTGGTAATGCTCCCCAAGAGCCGATGCGGTGTTTCATTCAGGGAGGAAATGCAAGTGGCCGCGTGACTTAATGGAGCAGGCCAGGGGGGAGGGCGGTGTCTGTGCTAGCTGATCATCTTGCTGCCATAGCCTGTTGCCAAGCTAGCCAAGAACTAATTGCTGTCAGAACCTCTGCAGTACACTCAGCCTGTGCTTGTCTTGAAGTGGTGATACCTGGGCCCTTCTGGTGTCATCTCAGGAAGAGGAACCACAAGGCCACTTCTACAGCTGTTGCTGTTCTTCAGCTCCCATCTCATAGTTCCTAGCGCTGGGAGAGCTGACATCCTGGCCGGGAGCCCTCTTCATGGGCACTGGTTTCTACTTTCCAGTGTATGGACACAGCAAGACGAGCTCCCACCCGTCCTCTCTGGCTTTCCCCTCTGCCACGCCTTAGTTATTGGTGGCAGGGGAGGGCTTCAGGTGTACAGTTTAATGGTGATGCCAAACTGCCACTTTAAATACAGTGGGTGACTGCAGCAAAGCACATGGGATGAAAGGAGCCCCTTCCCCTCCTCCCTCCACCCCCTTCCCCAGTGGCTGGTAGGGATTGCTAGCCTCTTGTTAGAATGTGATGCCTACCTGGGAGGAGGCCCAACTTCAGCAGTGGCCTCCGGTTGGGGATGCCCCAAGAAGCCTGAGCGCTTATGATCACAGAGGCGAACACTAAGGCTTGTCCCACTGGAGAGCTTGCCCAGGTTTCACTGTGGGTACTTTTCGTAAAGAAACATCACTAAATGTTCTTTCCAATTATTGTGTCTTACCAGGCAACTGAGCTACTTGATGCAATTCTGGAGGGCTACCCCAAAAGCAAGAAACAGTTCTTTGTAAGTACAACCATATCCACCTGCCTTTGACTAACACGAATCCACGGGTACCTACCGCAGGTGGTGTCACCTTCAACAAGTCCCCTAATGCTGGAAAGGGCCCTGTTTCTGAATTCTCCCTGTGCTGTCCCGCCAGCATAACTCTGCTTTGTGCTCCTGCGTTGTTCTTGTGCAGGAGGAAGTTGGGATAGAGACGGATGAGGATTACAATGTCACTTTGCCCGTGGCTGTCTGAGTTGCTGGCAGGAGCCGCTGCTTCGGGGGAGAGAACAGGCCAGTGTGGAACCCAACCGAAGCCGCTTCTGAAACTTGCACTGTTTGTAGGGCTTGGTTTTGTCCTGCGTCTTGCATGCATGTTTGTTTTAAAATGCTTTGCAGTCAGGAAGGTGGCTGCAGGGGTTGAGGCAGCTCCAGGCCCTACCACATTCTCATTTGCAATGGAGTCCTGTTTTTATGATCCTTTTGTTGCAGTGGGCATTGGGAGGGTGCCTCTCCCCTGGGCTATGGGTGTGTTGGACTGTCAACAAGTAGGTGAATGTGTTCTAGCAAAGGGAGGAAAGAAGCACCTAGGAGAGGGGAAAGAAACTAGTTATTAGTTTTGTAGGGTTGTACTGGCATCTCAGTGTATTTAATAAAGAGGGTGGGAAGCGCTGCCCACAGCATCTACCATGCTGTAATGTTGTATACAGGAGTATGATTCATTAAACACCACTGTCTCATCTTAGCCTGGCTTCTTCCCTAATTATTTCTTAGCCTGCCTGGTGGTAGCAAGACTGGCCTCCCGACTGCTCTCTGGAGTACAGACGTTAAAATGAGTGTAATTAAGTAATTGTGTAACTGCTGGAAAGTCGGCTTCCACCTGATGCCAGGTGGCAACAGGTGGCTCCCTGGGAGCCTGCATGTAACTGTGAACATTACCCAGCAGGCTCATGGGTTAACTGTGTCCATGGTTTCACATCCCTTCTCTGGAGTCTTGCCCATGAAAAGGAGGCTGTGTGTATTCCAGTCTGGTTTAACGAGGGTTTTGAGAGTTGGACTCCCCTGTAGGGGGGGAATGTGCAGATGGAGAGGGTTGTTCCAATACAGCTGCCATAACACTAACTAAGGAGTCAAATTGGGCAACCAGACATCACCAATCCCTTCTGAAAAATTGGCCCTGGACTCATCAGCTGATAGCAACCCAGTGATTCTGTGTCAGCAGTAAACAAACTGGAGAGGAGACACTTTTACAATGCTTAGCAAAAATTTATTATAATTACTTTCCAAGATAGAAAAATATTTCCTTTCCCCCTGAGTGAGGTCTGTAAAAAGCAATGCCCTTGGAGAAATGCACATGCCACTTATTAGTAAACAGCACAGGCTTTTGCTTCTGCAAACAGGGTGCTTTCCTGACAGCCAAGCAACCTCTTACAAGAGTTCTGTGTCTGAGCTTGAACTGCCTGAGCAGTAGCTGCCCCTGGTGTGTGCAGTTCACTTCAGCGTTAGACATGTTGCTGCAAATAAATGCTTGGACTTCCTGGGGGCTGTCTGCTGCATTTGCACTGACTGAGGTGCTCTGTGGAAGTGTTTTCTTTTATAAAATCCAAGACCAACAGGAACATTTCCTTGGTTACATGGAAAACGTCAGTTAAAACTTTATGCCTCAGCGTTTGAAAGGCAAACAGCCAGCACTAAGAAACGACCACCGAAGGAAATGCACAACAGCCACTCTCACTGGATTTTTAGAGGTGTGGGCACATAATTGGAAATGAACAAATAATGTAGTAAGAGATTCACTTTGGTGGAGTAATTCCAATAGCGTCACCTTGTCTGAGTAGTAAAAAGCCATTGCTGCTTTAGCGGACAGCTGCCTGTTGCTGTTAAGATTTCTGGGGTGCTAAAGAAAGAATCAGGGTGTAGCTGGTTTAAATTGTCCCAGACAAGCAGCTGTCTGCAAAATGTAAACTGATAGCAGGTTAGTGTGATTTTTTTTTCAATTCATTACAAAAATCAAGGCTTTATTATATATAAAACTATATAGTTCTAAACAAGAGGAGACGTCTAATTAGTCTGTGCTACACTATTCTACTTTCCCAGACAGTATGACTTCATTGTAAGTGCCAAGTAATATAAAGCCCGACAGATCAGCCTCTGTGCCGATAAAGCTAGAGAAGCCTGTAAAGAAAGCTGCATTCATCTGCAATTGTTTAGGACCCGGGGCAAGAGTCAGGCCAAGGCAGCAGCTGGCTCAAGCCAAGGCCAAAGCTATTGTCATCTGTGCGAGAGTCCCTTTGACACTGTTCCTCACCTCTCCATGTGGCAGTGATGGGCCTGCTTCCTTGGCATGCCTTTTTGAAAGTCATTCTGCACCAGGGAAACAAGCAGCCGTCCGTCCCTAGGCAGGATGAGGTGATTGGGACACACCAGAATCACTAGTCCCGAACCCGTCTCATCGGTAACTAGAACCAGCTGCTTCAGAGACAGGTTCAAGAAATCCTGCAAGGGTGGGAAACCTGTCCAAGGGACACTTCTTCCTAAGCCCCGTTGGTAGAGGTCAGTGTGTAGCCTGGTGCAGGAGGGTTTATAGCTCAGCCAGAGCTCTTTAATAGGGTGGGGGAAGAGAGGTCTCCCTGCCTGTTGCTGGGCCACAGTCCCTGCTGCCATTCACAGCCCCATGGGGTGATGCAATGTCAGCAAGTGCATAGCCTGAAACCAGCCGTGTTCAGCAGCTCCCAGCCAGGCTCTGTGGTTTCCAGGCCCTGCATCCTCACAGGCAGTAGTCAGACTGCAGGCCATTCCCCTCTCCCTCTGCCCAGAGCAGGCCAGGCAGCAAAGTGCTGAGCACCCGCCACCACTGTAGGGAGTCAGGCGCAGGAAAGGCCTAGTTGCTGCTGTGCCAGTTTGGTGAGACCCTCCCCCTCCTTCCTTCTCGGCAATAAGAAGTGTATTTAATCCACATTTAAATTCCCTTCTCTGCCGAGTCCCTACGGACCCTCTGGTGCTACAGACTGCGACAGGGTCTGTGGAGAGGTATGTACAGCCTAGTTTTGGTTTTGGCCAATACAATAAATAATCCAGAGAGAAGCTTTAAGAACAACCACAAGGGAAATAGACCAGCTATTCCTGGAGCCTGTTTCCCAGTTGGGCCGTGCTCTGCAGCTGTCTGGGTGAAGGACACAGGCCCAGGCTGCTGGGACCCGGGCAGGAACAACAGTCAGTAGAGCTGATTCTTCAGCTGATGCAGAACCCCCAGCACGATGTCGCGCAGAGTCTGAGAAGGAGGAGAAGGAGGAGGCAGGATCAGTCACCCCGCGAGACAGACGAACATTTGCCTTGGCAATGCCTCAGCGGCTTCCAGCGCAGACCCAGGAACTCCTTACAGAGTGGGAAAAGTGAATAGAAAGGCAGCTGGGTACCCACTGCCCCCACCCAAGCACAGGTAGGTTTAATCGCAACATACCTAGGGGAGGTACCGTATTACTGGGAGTATGGGACCTACCAGCTTGGATCAGAGGAAGGACTCAGCCTGGTCAGTTTCCTGTCAGACTGTAGCAGAATCAGCTGCTTTAGAGGAAAAAAGCTTAGTGCAAGCAGGTGTGGTACAGAGGGTCCCTGCTATAAGTCGCCCCGGTATACATCTGTTCCACACTAAAGTTGCTGATGTTTGTAGAAACTGATGCATTATAAGTCATGCGAAACACTCCCCCCAGTTTGCTTAAACGGAAGTCAGCCGTGGGGAAAAAATTACGTGCTTTAAGTTAGTGATAGATATGTAGCCTTGTTAGTCTGGTGTGGCTGAAACAAAAAGCTTTAAGTTGTTTCGCTATAAGTCCAAGTTTTTTGGAATGTATCTTGGACTTCTAGCAAGGGCCCCCTGTATACCCACTTGCCTCTCAGGGTATGTCTATGCAGTGCCACGTAGCTCAAAATAAGCTATGCAATTCGAGCTACGCAAATTGCATAGCTTATTTTGAAAGAGTCTATTTATTTAATTTCGAAATAGACCATTATTCCAACAAGTCCCTTAATCCTCATGGAACAAGGTTCACCGGGATGTCGGAATAGCAAGCCCGTTATTTCGGGATACCGGACATATCCCGAAATAGCACCGCTGTCTAGACGTACCCTTAGGGAAGGTTTCTGTCCTATCAAAGCTTGCTTTAGCTGGAGAACAAGAGCCCCTGTAAAAACTCAAAAACCATCAAATAGTCCTGCAGCACCCTGGAGACTAGCTAAGTGCCGAAGGGTATCTCTACGCAGAAAAGAACCTCACCGCAATGAATTTCAGAGCTAGGGGCAAGTCCCATGAAGGCGCTTGCCCCATGTCATGCACTGTACGGCTCCTAGAGCTTACCTGTGGCTTACAATGCTCCTCAATCCAGCTGAAGACACACGCGGAAAGTTCCTGAAAACTTGCTACCGAGATGGAGGCATTAAAGGACTGGAACAGTGAATCCATAATGCCTTGGAAAACATTAAACTTGACTTGGTCAGAGACCTGGTCTTTCCCCTCATTCGGATTATCCTGATGAGCTTTCACAATCTGCTCATAGTTTCTGAAACAGACCAAAGAAACCTGGGTAAAATGGCAGGCCAGGGAAGCTAGTTCTGGCCTGAGACACTCTCCAAAGATCTGTTTGAGGTGAAAGAGACTCAGGGACGTGCTGCAGTGTTTGTGGAAGGGCCTTAACTGTGCTTGTTAGGACTGAAGGTAGCGCTCTTGCTGGTTGTAGGGTTAAGTTAGCAGGCTCTGGGCTTTAAGTTCCTTGAGGGGAATAAATACAGGGAAATTGTGGCCTCCCTTCTGTGTTGGAGAGGACACCCAGGAGCAGGCTGGGTCTCCTTGTTCAGAGTCGGTACAGCCCTACGGACAGTCCCTGGGCTTAAGCCATGCCCCCACGCGCTGTACTGGGATCTGCGTCGAGCCTAGATTCACAAAAGAGCCAGGTAGTAACCAGCTCTAGGATGGAATGACACGGAACAGGTGGAGGGGGGAGATGAGCACTGACAGCATGTGCTGCAGTATGCAAATGTACCCATCTCCCGGGGTGGGGTGGGGGTGTGAAACTGTTCCTTACACTTTCATGATCTTCAAAGCTGTGACATCTTTCCTGAGGGTAGAAACGTCCTCCTCCTGCTTCTTCTTCTCCTTGTGGAGGAACTGAATGTAGTCAATGGCTGCAGGGGAGGAGAGGGGAGGGGAGAATTTTAGAATAGATCAGTGATGTCACTCTGCAGGGGGCAGGAGGACGGTGGGGCCTCTGCAGGATTGATGCATGGCTGTCGATTTCTTCCCTGCAGACCTCATGCATCCAAACTGACCAGGAGGCAGTCTCCCAACTCCTCTCCTGAGAGTCCCAATGCGTCATACCCCAGCTCCAAGGAGAGGGGAGCCAGGTGCTCTAGATCATATGCTGGGAAGAGTCCCAGACTCCTAAGCCCTAGACCCAGTCTTCCTGCCTCAACCCAAGTGATTTCAATGCCTGTGAGCAGCAAGGAGGGGCTGACAGGTGGGTGTGTGGGGGTTGAACTAGGTAGCTAGTGCTTCACCCTGCAACACTGTGCCTCCTTTGCCTTGCTAGGCTGATTGCACCAGTGTTACTCAGCCTCAGCAGGAGATCAGGGGAGCAGTAACCTGCAGAGCTGAGTAGGGAGGAAGCAGACAGCTCAGTGAGGCCTGACACAAGATGCCTATTAGTTTGGTTTTGAGTGTCTGCAGGGAAGGTTTTACAGCCTGGGGGGGGCTCTCCACATTGAACCCCCATGAACAGAGGGTGGCCAGTGCCCCACTCCCCCTCCGGACTCACTCTTCTGCAGGACGATGGCTTTGCTCAGTTTCTGGGAGCCGATGGAGAAGTCCTGCTGCTGGCACGTGGGGACAATGGCCTGCAAGTCGTCGTAGCCTTTCTGTGGAGGAGCAGAGCAGAAGTGACAAGGTGTTGTGGATTCAACAGCAGCGGATGATTAGAGCTGGCTGAGTCAGTGTTTAACAAGGTGTAAATCTACAGCTCCCATGGGTTCATCTGAACCCCTACAGCATCCTGAACGCCTGGGTTACCTTGATGGCATCTCGTCTCTTCTGCTCAGCCTGAGTGTGGGCACGTCTGCGCCGGTCCTTGTAGGACTCTTTGTAGGTTTCCTGGCGATAATCGCTGTCTTCATCATCTGCAGCAGAAGAATGGGCACCGCTGGCTCGGGGGCACGTGGCAGCTCCCAGAGCCCAGGAAGCAGACACAAAAACTGCTGAGGCCACACAGACACCAGGCAGTGTCTGCGCTGGGGAGCATTTCAACTGTGCCAGAGGGCTGGACTAGCTCCACACAGCTTTTCCAAAAGGAGGGGGCCAAACACAGTAAAGATCCACCTGTCTAAGGACATCTCTGCTAGCAACAGTCCACAGTGTGTGAGCAGCTGGGGTAATTCATTATAGGGAAGGCTGATACTGGATACCACCTGCTTCTCCCGCAGACCCCAGGGCTGGGTCCTGGCTTGTCTAGGCAAGATTCTTACTAGCAGGGCTCTGCTGCATTGGAGTCTGCCCCAGGAATTTCAAGGCACTGGGTGTCTAAGCAGAGATCCCTTCCATAGAGAGACCAGCTTTTCAGCACTTCCTGGAAATGAGGCCTCTAAGGTGTCTCAGCCTGAGCATCCATCACCACTCGGCATTTGAAATTCTTGGCAAAGAAGTTTCGTCAGCCCCTCGCTCCAGCTCTCCTCTGTTCTCCGTGGTCAGGGGAGTCCCATCAAACTGCCCTGCAGCAAGCCACGATGCCCTCCCTGGGCTTCCCTACCATTCTCCCTAGCCAAGGACAAGATGTCTGCACTAGCTGGCAGAGGAAGCTCCTGCAATCACGGTCTCGTACAGAACAACTCCTAAGGAGACCGAGACTGAACAGGAATATGAGTGAGAGAGTGGGAAAAGCCCCTATTGTGTGAGACGCTGCTGGAACATGGAGAAGGACCATACCTGTATTGGGGACCGAGGAGGCACTGGTGGAGCCAATGCTGTTGGCTCGGGATACTATGCTTCCTTTCCTAGTGCTTTCCACAAAGAATGCTGAAAGAGAAAACACCGTAGCATATTTTCCTACATCATGCAAGAGGAGGTAAGTGTCACTAAACCTGAGACACTGTAAACTGGACACAGAAGGGATCAACTTTACAAGGCAAATTACAGGGTAACTAGCTCCCAGACAGAGTGCAGATAGATGCAATGAATGCTGAAATGCCACTGGGACCCGACGTGAAACCTTGCTGTGCTTGAATTGGTTAACTCTAATATCCTTTGCACTGCAGTTTCCCCAAAATAAATTTCAGGAGACATGAGAAGGGCTCCACAAACCTCTTACTGATGGAGCACAAAATACAATGATGATTTTATCTGTGCTGCTTTTCCGAGGAGCAGATATGTCTTGCTTTAAAGAGAGAGTGCAGATTTGGACCAAATTCAACTAGACTGTACTTCTCCTAGTAGCCTAAACTAGAGCAGCAGTACTCAAACTTTTTGGGCTGCGGAGCCCTTTACATGTGTAAAAATTTATGGGGAGCCCTAGCGGTCCACTGCTTGTGTGTGTTGAACTTATGCAGAGCCCCAGCAGTCCACTGATTGTAGGGGTTGCACCTCTCCATGTTTCCAGTTTGTCAACCTTGTGGCGCCCCTGGAGATGGCTGGGGGAGCCCTGGGGCTCCGTGGAGCGCAGTTTGAGAAACAATGAACTAGAGCCAAGGACAGAAACGCCTCCAGCTCCCTGGCCCATTGAGGCAGCTGTGGCCTGATGGGAGTGTGGGAGAAGGGGACACGGGGGGATCTACTCACAGGCATCCAACCCGCTGTCGCTGTAGGCAGACTCCACCTGGGGCGGGGCGGGGCGGGGTGAGCGAATTGCAGCAGGAGAGAGAGAGACACAAACCAGGCAGTGAGCGAGCCGTTTCCTCTTTCGGGCACGTGGCTTTTTGCGCAACAAGCCATTATCCCACCACGTGACAGCACGTTGGGGTCCCATGGGGGTCGCCCCTCCCCCCCCCGGCCCCGGCCCTGTGGTCACCCCCCCAGCTGATTCATTCCGTGACCTCTGACCCCCTCCGTGGGG